TTAAGCTTTATAAAGAACTTTACTTTATTAGTTTATTATAAGACTTCGTCGATTAGTAGTAATAGATAATAATCTTTTTTTATAATAATATTTAATCTTCGGAAGTCGATATAAAAATAAAAACCGCCTCTAGGCTTCTTCGCTATTAAAATTAGAGAAGTATATAATACTAAACTTAGAATAATAAATCCTTTCTTAAGATTCTTTATAATATACTTTCTTACTTTTTTTAGCTTATAAAGAGATAGCTTATAAAGAGGATAATATCTAGATTATACTTCGGCTTTAAGTATAATATTATAATTAACTCTAGGTCTATAAAATAGTAATTTATCTAATCTTTTCTTTAAGAAAACTTCCGCGAGATTATAATACTCTTTTAGTAAGGTCCGGAGTATCTTATTAATTTTAAGATCCTCTATCTAGGCGCTCTTAATATCGATAATATAATTAATCTTATAAAGAGATATAATAAAGATTTTAGTTTCTTTATTAATCTTACTTTTTATATAGAGTCGATTAAATCTAACGCTTCCGATTACGCTAATATTAATACTAATTAAAGACTACTCTTTCTTTATTAATATTTAGGCTTTTAAAATCTTTATTTTATTCTCTAAGTTTCGAATTATCTTCTATTTCTTTTTAATCTATTAATATCTATATTAACGTTCTCTAATACGCCGGAGTTATAAAAGTAATTATTAATCTTATTATCCGAATAGGTAATTATATTATTCTATATTAGCTTAGTAACTAAGGTCTATCTTTAATAACTTCTTTAAGATTTTAGTTAGAAAAGAAATAGTAATCTTACTTATAACTTTATTAGAAAGACTTTTTTAATCCGGCTAAATTATTCGGTATTATCGATAATCTAAAAGAATATTATACTTAGTAAACTATATTTATCTAAGGATTATATTATATTATCTAAGATCTATAATTAATATTAGAATTTATTACTATACTCTACTATTTATATAAACCGTAAGAATAGCGGTATATCGTATTAATTTAGCTAGCTTACTATTAAATCTATATACTAGATATTTATAGCTAAGCCTTTATATCTTAATTCCGAATTATTTATCGAGTAGTATAATTATTACTAAGTTAATAAAGATATATTTATCTATTTTAGTATTATTAAGTACTAAGATAGAAAAAGAGTAGCTATTATATATAAGTTATATATTAAAAACTAAGCTATCTTTAGGACTATTAACTAACTTCTATAAGTCTAGTATAAATAGTAATACTTTCTTTCTACCTAGGAGGGAGACTTATTCTAAATAAAGGCTTTTTCTAGATTCTTTTTATTACTTACTTTAAGTTCTATAATCTTCTAAAGATAAAGAGTAGTAATAATAGCTATAGTAATAGGCTACTAATTAAGCTTCTTTTTCGGATAATTATAGGTTATATATCCTTACTCCTTATAATTAAAATAATAACCTTTTTTTATTAAAGTCTTATACTTAGATATAAAAAGACTTATAAAATTAGTACTATCTTTATATTTTATATAGAGAGTATAATTTAAACTAGCTATAGTAGTACCTACGCCGCTTCTTAAAGATAGATTTATATAAAAATAGAAAATAAAAGTAGAACTAGCCGACTTAGCTTTCTACTATAGACTAATTTTATATAATATACTCTAGTAACTCTATATAAATATATCGAACGAGATAATCTCTTAATTAATAGCTTATATAACCTAGATCTAAAGTAGGTATAAGAGCTTAGAATATAGATCTTATTTTCGGTTCTTAATTATAATAGTAGCCTCTTCTATAAGCTATATAAACTTTATAAGAAAGTTAATAAAGTTATCCCTCGCCTTTATCTTTAGTCGGTAGTATATAGTATATACTTTAGTATATCGATTCGGATTCGCGAAGATAATTTTTAAGTAGATAATAATATCCTCTATATCTTTATAAGGGATATTAGCGTTAGTACTTATTTAAGAGGTAATATATAACTAAGTTTTAGCTTTATATCGACTTTATATATAAAGCCTTTAGTAGATAAGAAGAGGATAATAATCTATATTAGCTTTTAGTTTTTATTAAATAACCGTCTCTTAGATTTTAAATCTTACTTTTTTATTATCGTTAAGTATTAGTATATTAAATATTTTAGTTATCTTCTAATTAATATTAGTCTTTATAATCGATATACTAATATTAGTAATATTTAGATTCTAGGCGGAGAGAAGATAGAAAGCTAAGTCTCTATATTTACGGATTATAAGATCGCGGTAAGTAATCGCCTTATTATATTTAATTATAAGTTTATCGATATTAATTTTCTTATTAAGAAGTATTATAATCTTATTTTTTAACTTTTAGTTCTCCTACTCTAATCGTCGGTACTAATAAGTAAGTTCTTAGAATCTCTCCTTCGACGGAGTCTTCTATAACTATTCGTATATAGAGGATAATCCTTCTTTTACGTTATTATTATCTTTATTATATTTATTAGTATCTACTAGTCTCTCGATATATAGGGTCTTTAGCGTCGATATATCGATTATCCGATCGTCGATCTCTTCTTTATTAAGTATAGTAGTAACCGGCTACTTACCGCGATTTATAGGGTTCCGTCGTATCTTAACTATTATAATTAGTTAGACAAAATTTAGTTCGGGTATCTTAGCTATATAGTGCTAAGGAACGGAAAGTAGGTAAGCTAGACCGAGATCTACTATAATAGGGATCTATATAGTCGTACTACTTATTAGATTTAAATAGTACTTAATATTATATTACTAGCTAGTTCTTTAATAAAAGAGTGTATTTAACGAGAATATTAAGTATAGAGGGAAAAAAGAAAAGAAGAAAGAAAATCTATAGGTAGGACTATTAATATCGTTATAGGGTATAGGTCCTACAAATACTAGAGGAATGCAAACATCGAACCTAGGCGGAATCCTCTGTTAGAAATCTGTAGGCGGAGCCAACTGACAGAATCTCCTCTAGATCGTCACATTAATAACCTATTCCCCCCGAAGATTACTTAGAAATATTTTATCTAATAGGCTTTAATATTTACTATAGTATTAAGGAGATTTTCTATAATAGTATATCTAGTTATTATATAAAGCCTCTAAAACCTTACTTTTCTAACGCCTATTAGAAAAGTAGTAGTATATTAAGTTATTATATAAAGCCTCTAAAACCTTATTTTTCTAACGCCTATTAGAAAAGTAGTAGTACGTTAAGTTATTATATAAAACCTTCTAAACCTTACTTTTTCGATAGGTATTAGAATATTAGTACAAACTACCCTTTAAAGAGAGATTTCTAACCGTAGTTAGAAATAATAGTAGATATACCTACTTTCCTAGAAGTAATTTCCCGACTATAGTTAGAATATCTATATCGGATAGGATATATATAAGAGTATAGAGATAGTTTATAAACTACCCTAATACGTATACTATATTAATTACTAAACATATTAAATAATAGTATAAAAAAAGAGTTATTTAGCTTTAATATAATATTAATTATATAGAAAATAAAATAGGAATAAGATATTTCTACTTATATTTATATTTATATTCTAGTATATATATACTTACCTCTACTATAAATATATATTTCTAATAGTATAATAGTTAACAAATACTTAGGTTAATAGAATATTATTATAATATAATTAATCCTAATTTTTATAGGTAATAAATATAATATAAAGTCTATTAGCTTTAAATTTAGGGGAATTATATAAAATTTCTAACTTAGAACTATGATAATATAGTAATATTCGTTAGACAAACTAGAATAGTTGTAAAAAACAGTTATTTTGTTTAATGACTTAATATCATTATAAACGCTAAGACCTATATTTTATGCAAAAATGGGTTCAAATGGGTTATTATTGGGTTATTGGGTTTAACCCATTAGGTTTTGGGTTAGGTTGGGTTATAGAGGGCGGAACCCAAAATGGGTTCTGCCGAAGTCTACTTAGGCTTCTAAGAAATAGGCCTACGTAGCTCTATTATCGACGGAGTTAGAATATATTATATAGGCCCTAGTAGTTTAAGAAGCTAGGTGGTTGATCTTACTGCTTACTAAGCTATATATATATGATTCAAAGTATACCTTACTCGACAAGCCGGTTGTTATTAATGTAGACAACACCGGTGCAATTGCTCTCGCTAAGAATCTAGAGTACTATGTACGAACGAAACATATTGCCGTCCGTTATCACTTTTTACGGTAAGAAATTTCCTCTAGTTCTATTGTATTACAGTATATTGCTACTTAGCAATAGGCCGCCGATGGACTCACAAAGCCGCTCGGTACGACGGCTTTCCATCGCTTTATGGATCAACTTGGTCTTCGGCCAAGCTCTGCTCTACAGAAGCATTAGAAAATTGCTTTAATGTTTATAGAGGAGAAGATTCTGGGGGTATCTACTATAGGGGGTGGAAGTTTTTAATTTTTTTTTAATTTTCTTTTTAATTTTTTTTCGATCCTTTATGTCAAGCGATCGTGGGGGTGTTGAACTCTCTCACGTGACCTAGGATCACATGCTTCCATATGTCTCCATATCTGTAGATAGATCAGTCTCTCTCCCTCTCTTCTCCATCATCACTAGTACTACAATATCATCATTGTATCTACATGATTACCTCCCTTCACCTGTAACCGTTCTAACAGATCTCGAAGAGATGAGGGTCCCGCGTGTCGAGAGCATACTTGAGTGCGGTGGACCATGATGCGAAGTTAGATTCGCCGGTGAGGGTGGGAACGAGCTCTGAGAGCTTTGGCTCCGCGAAGCTAGTTGCTGAGAATATCTTGTAGAGTGCTTCGAAAGAGAGAGGCACTAAGTTGTTGTAGAGCGAGGTGCGTCGAAGAAGAGAGGCACTAAGTTGTTGTGGAGTGCGTCGAAGGAGAAAGGCACTTTTGGGATGATAGCGCTTGATAAGGGCTGAAAACCTATGCGCGTTTGTTTGTTGTGACCGTTTGCTAGTGTCGAAACTAGGTAGGTGCTGGTAGGTGGCCTGGCCGGTAGGCGCGTCGTCGAGAGAGGTGCTTGTTGAAACCGTTGTAGAGGTTTATGGGGGTGGCCTGGCCGGTGATGTCGATGATGACAATGGTGATATCGGCGTCGATGATGGAGGGGCCGATGGAGGATAGTAAATGGAGCATCCAAGGGCTCATAACCTGTTAGGAGAGGTCTACGCGGTGGACGTCAAAGTGCATTGTGCAATGTGAGCAATTGATTGAGTTGAGAGTTGAGAGTTGTAAAAGCTAAGTTACAGAAAATGAGATCCAACAAGAATATATTGTTCTAACGAAATAACGAAACCAGGGCAAAGAAAGGAAGAAGAAAGAGAAAGGAAAGCAGAGAAGTGCTGAATTAGGTGCGGACCATGTGATCGCCCGACAGAGATTGTGAGATTGAGGATAAGATAGCAAAAGAAAAAAAGAGCATCGGGACCGGGTCCGGGGGTAATCTCTGGTGATTAGTAGCTCAAATCCTCAGTGCAAGAAACAAGAGATGCTTAATGACCTTCTACGGTACCTCATTGCCCATCTGGGCCATATTGTACCGGAATACTGGGCCAAGCATCAATTCCATCCAAAATCGCGAGACTGGGCCGTTTGTCAGTGTAGATCCACCAAAGACTTCAAAATGTTGTCACTTACCCCATTCCACCTGTAAGGTGCGGATCTAGATGACAGTGAAGGAAGAAAGCCTGACTCTTTAGTAAATAGAGTCGATCAATGACATAGATAGTGTTTGCATACCCCTGAATTTTGTACTGTACAACGATTTATGTTAGCTCGGGCTTCCCAGATCCCGTGAACCACATACCATTATATCGAACTGCTAACCAACTCTCGCCTTTGTAAGCCGGAAGCGTTGTGAAGGTGTCTAAGAATGCCATGCATTAGCATCACACGAAGTCGCGGGAGTTGAGAGGGAATCGAGTATTTCGCACCTCTCATCGGGGGGTTGTCTAAGTTGAAGTTTTCTGGAATTGTCTGGGCAGCCTCTGCGACTGAACTCCAGTTAAAAGACCCGGTGCCAGTTCCCTAATTGTTACAGATTAATAAGTCTCCCAGAATAGACCTGGGCTTTGGATATTTCGTCTGAGACTCACCAAAACGTAGACTCGATTGGAATGTTTGTGGAGTGGATGACTGGGCTGCAGTGTAGTCATATCTCCCGACATTGAGAAGATGATATCAACCCATGTATTGTTTTTGGTAGCGATTACCAAGGAGCTATTGACTGCGGATTGAGGATCCCACAACAATGGCTTTTCTGCCTCCAAGGCAAGACCGTAGGAATTATTGCCATTCAAAGACCATTCCCAAGCCTTCCGAATACGGCCAGTGGTAAGTATAAAAGTCTCGTCTGGGCTATCTTTTGGACGACTTGGGGCAAGCATTTCAATTGTGGTTTCGTCGAACGAGATAAAGTCCTTGTTGATACCAGTGCTAATTCCACCGTAATTGATGGAAGAGACTGATGTGACGGAGGAAACTCCATTCAGATAAGATAGAGTGGCGAATCCAGCAATTTTTTGATTGAATCCTGAATTGGCCACGGTAATTGAATAATTACCAGGGTCTTGATTAAGTTGAACCAAGCAGGAGTAGCGGCCGCCATTGTTGATCGTCAATGCCTAGATGACAGATTGTCAGTAAAATGTCATGAGGACTGAGGAATAGATTAAACTAAAACCATACATCAACTTTCATTGGATTTATGTGTAGACCATCAATCTCATACACCCATAATGAATGGTTGTTGATAGAAACTAGGTATGTATCTTAGTATCGTGAACAGGAGAGAAATGGTCAAAAGCATACCTATTGGGGCCGAAATTGATGCCGAACCGATGAAATTAAGACTTACCCACCCATTGAGTGAATCAACCTCAATGATTTCTTCTGCGGCATCCGTGGTAACGCACTCATCAAACAACGACGATGGAACCAAGCTAAAGTTGTGCGAGAATTCTGTCTGGGCATAGGTATTTTGAAGCGGCAAGCACCTTTGTTCGTCAGCCGTAGAACAGGATTCTGAACTGAGGTTTTCTATAATCGGCGTACCCTTTGGCCGTGTAATTCATGCCTTGAAGAACCGATTTCAACGAATCAGGCACCATGTCCGTCAGATATCCAGGATCGCGGCAGTTGACTCTTCCCTTTCCGTTGACCAAAACCGAATCCGCGCATCTTGGCCTTGTTAGATTTACCTCGGCGACAAAAGTTTTCCACACTCACAAAACGTCTATGTCTGCGGAAATTGCAATCTGTCGTAACGCTTCCGATGTCATATGAAACCAGTCGGAAAGTATCACCAAGCTGGGCGATTTTATGGCGTCGTATATTTGACTTTGTGCCTTGGTATTATCCGTGATCATACTGGCCAAACTTTCGGGGGTTTTCTGTGGCCTGAATATTGAGCCTTAAGCCAGCGGCACAAAGCAAGCTTGTTAAATTTCCCTTACCTGATATAGATTGGCCCATACAAGCCATCCATTATCTGTCCTGCGGAATGTGAATGATACCTTTTTTTCTCGTCAGAGTATGATCTTATAGTGGAAATCTTCATCTTACCAGTATGTTCCATATTGTCTGACAACAAACGAGGAGACAAATTGTCCACCTGGGGGAATAAGCTTCTGGGAAACTCCAGGCACTCCATCTGACCACGGAGTTCCCTGTTGTCTGTTTTTTCTGTTAGCGTTAATACATATCTCATCAAAGAAAAATATCTGACTCGATGCCATGGTAATGGATTGTGGTATTGAACGGCATACGGTTGTTCACAGTTACTTCCACATTATCGCCTTCATCCATAATGAGAGCAGGCCCGGGAAACTGGCTATTAATCAACGCCTGGGGGCGCTGCACTCCGTCCGCAGCCCATGGTTCCCAGGTGAGATTGAGCTCGAATGTCTTGGTCTGTTGAAGCGGGCCAGTGGTCAAAGAAGCTCCCAGATCCAAATCAATGGAAAGGCTAGAAGCCAGTCCAATTATAGACAGCAGAATAGCTGATTTCATGAATGACTGGTGGCTATATAGAGCTCTGGCGGTAGTCATCAAGGTAGGAAATGAAGGCTGCATTATAAATAGAGCATCCAGGGGTTTTCCCCTTATTTTTTTCTCAAATACCCGCCGAGTCTGCTTATATCATCATCCAATATTGAGTATCCCTAGGGTCCAAAACCTAGGACGGACCCAAATTTATTTGATTATATAACCATAGTCTTCTTTTCTAATTTTTAATTTTTCGTCTGACTTTTATTTACCCTCTTTACCCTCTATAATCAGGTGACTCCGCAAAAGTGTTAATACCTTTTACTACCGCCTTCCTAATTAATTATACCGCCTCCTTTATTTCTTACTAGCAGAACCTACAACATAGGGTATTAACACTTTTATATATAATATGACTATATAATAGAGCTAATACTACTCTTAGACAGGAATACAGGTTGTAAGGGAAATTGGGCTCTGGACCAATATTCTCCACAAGGAATACTCTTAATAGAAAATGTAGGCATTAACCAAAAAGACCACTTATGATAACCGAACAGGTTATCATACCAGAGTTTCCACTATATGCGCATATGCCAATGCGACCGAGATTTCTCCACTTTGTGGTTTGTATGGACTTATCCATTACACAGGTAGAACTGGAAATTGTCTATTGCGCAGAGAGGGAGAGAGAAGAGAAGAACTATCTGAGCTAAGTGGAGACAAATAGCTGGGAGCAGACATGCAAGGTCACGTGACCTCGCAACAACTACCCTAATAGAAGGCTACTAAAGAACCTAACGAGGGTTATTTTCATAGAGCTTTAATTAAAGGAAGATAGTAGTATATAGGGGTAGTCCTAGGGGCGGACCCCCGAACGAACGCCGGAGCGGGGGCGTCTAGACTGCGCCAAAACCCGAGAATGGGTAAGAGAAATCGACCCGCAACCCGAACCCGCAAACCCGATGGGTGGACTCGACCAACCCGTAACCCGCCCCGCAACCCGCGCGGGTTACCCGCGCGGGTTCCCGCAAAAACCCGCGGCTATATAATTTTCCCAATTAAGCTATAGCGAAGTATATAAAAATGCTGATTTATACTAATAAAATATAGTAATCTACGGTAGTTTTATTTATACGTCTAATGTGACGATCTGGAAGAGATTCTGTCAGTTGGCTCCGCCTGCAGAGATTTCTGACAGAGGATTCCGCCCAGGTTCGATGTTTGCATTCCTCTGGTGTTTGTAGGACCCACACCCCATAACGACATTAATAGTCCTGCCTATAGATTTTCTTTCTTCTTTTCTTTTTTCCTCTATACTTAATATTCTAGTTAAATATACTCTTTTTGTTAAAGAACTAGCTAGTAATATAATATTAAGTACCAATCAAATCTAATAAGTAGTACGACCGTATAGATCTCTATTATAGTAGATCTCGGTCTAGCTTACCCTACTTCCCGTTCCTTAGTATCGTATAGCTAAGCTATCCGAACCGAACCGAATTCCTATCTAACTAATTAGAATAGTTAAGACTCGACGAAACCCTATAAACCGTAGTAAGTAGCTAGTTACTACTATACTTAATAAAAAAGAGATTAACGATCGGATAATCGATACGTCGACGCCGAAGACCCTATATACCGAGAAACTAGTAGATACTAGTGAATATAATAAAGATAATAATAATACTAGAGAAGGATTATTCTTTATATATAAATAATTGCGGAAGACTCTATCGAAGAAGAGATTCTAGGAACTTACTTGTTAGTACCGACGACTAGAGTAGGAGAACTAGGAGTTAAAGGATAAGATTATAGTACTTCTTAATAAGAGAATCGATATTAATAAACTTACAATTAAACGCGATAAGGCGATTACTTATCGCGATCTTATAATCCGTAAACGCGGAGATTTAGCTTTCTATCTTCTTTCTATCTAAAACCTAAATATAGCTAATACTAACGTACCAATTATAGAGGCTAACGTTAGTTAGAAGATAATTAAGATATCTAATATACCGATACTTAATAATAGTAAAAAGTAAGATTCGAAACCTAGGAAACGGTTATCTAATAGAAGCTTAAAGCTAATATAGACTACTACCCTCTCCCTATCTATCGGAAGCTCTATATATAGAGTTAATATAAAGGTAAGGCTTAGTTATATATTACTCCCTAAATAAGCGCCGACGCTAGTACTTCCTATAAAGATATAAAGGATATTATTATATACTTAAAAACTATCTTTACGAACCCGAATCGATATACTAAAGTATATATTATATATTATCGACTAAAGATAAAGCCGAGAGATAACTTTACTAACTTCCTCGCGGAGTTTATATAGCTTATAGAAAAGGCTACTATTATAATTAAGAACCGGAAATAAGACTTATATTCTAAGCTCTTATACCTACTTTAGATCTAGGTTATATAGTGTCAGGTGAAATACAGGCTATGCAGGAATGAATGTTAACCTCAAGGGATTAATATTGTAGACTCTGGAGAGAAAGAAAAGAAGAGAAGAAAAACTAGCTACTGTCTAACAATATCCTGAGTTCTGTGGGTCAGGATCACCTGCGGCCCTACATGGCCGTCACGTGACTCCAACACCCCCTTCAGGACGAAGACTATCACCATATCTCTTTGTCTCCACCAATAAAAACTCTCCATTTTGTTTTCTTATTTTCCACCATTTCCTACACAATGTAAATCTGCATCTACCCGTAAACTTTAGTATGTAGATCAATTAAGACCTAACATCTGGATGAACTTTGCATGTGCTTCTTTGTCAAGCGCTTTTGTAAACCCGTCGGCGACGTTGCTCTTCGTCTCGACGCGCCGTAAATCGATCTTCTTTTGGAAAATAGCGTCCTTGACGAAAAACCACTTTATGTTAAGCTAACGTATACTGTTCTTATACGATTTCTTGCCTATTAGCAACTGAGTATTGATATTATCTGTTAAAATAACAATTGGATTGCCTACCTTAGGAAGATTAAGTGCCTTAGCAATCTTTGAAATCTACTGAGTATCCCTAGTAGGTCGATCTAGAGCATACTATTCCGTAGCTGTCGACGATAGAGTTATAATACTCTGTTTCTTCGAGTACTAAATGATAGGTACGCCACTGAAAAACCAAATAGTACCCTCTATCGATTTTGAATTATGCTAATCACTATACGAAGTATCGGTATACGTAAAGAACGAGGTATCGTCTACCCCCCTAGCGTTATGCTAAGGTGTATTATATCACTAAGATACCTATAGATAGTACGGACTGCTTGTAAATCGTTAGTAGTCGGAGAAGCAGAACGATGTTGTAACTTTATAATACTGAATTTGATATTAGGCCTAGTTTTAACTGCTAGCTAGTTGAGTCTGCTAACTAGAGACCTAAACAAAGTATGCCCCTCCTAATCTAGAAGAGCGTCGGGATCCTTATTGCCGTTATCCTATTTATAGTTTAGAGAAAGCGGAATCGAGATTGGAGAGTATGCCTGTATCTCTACTAAGCGAAGTGCTTCTAGATAGTATACCTACTGCGTTATCCGAATTATTCTCTTATCGTAATCCCGGATAACGGCACTACTAAGAAAACGGGATAGTTCTCTTATATCCTTAATCTCGAACTAACCCTTTACCTACTGAAAAATCATCTCGACCTCTCCGTCGGTCGGAGCTATACTAATGAAATCATTAATATAAATAAGAAGAAACTACGTTAAACCATTATATATCTTAACGTAGATATATAGATTATTATTAAGAGTATAAAACCTAATCTTGACTAGTCTTCTGTTAAGTTCCTTATTCTATAGAGCTGCCGAATCACGAAGGCTAAACAATGCCTACCGTAACTGATAAACCTAACCTTTGCTTCCGATATTAGGTTCGGAGTATTTAAAACCTACTAGTTGAACGATATAGACTGTCTCTTAATCTTTATGAGAAGTATTAAGATACGTAGCTACTATATCAAACTGACGCTATTTGTAACCTCTCTGCGTAATAAGTATAAAGATGATCTTTATAAGAATGTTTTGAATAACCGGAGTATAGAAGATTGAATCCTCCTTCTTCTACTAGTAGTTACTACAAACCACCTAACGCGCTTTGAAACTATAAATAAGGTTGTCTTTCGTTACTTTGAGATCAAAAACCTATTGACTCGGCAGAGGCACTACCCCTAGCGGCTTACGAACGACATTAAAAGTCCTTTTCGTATAAACGTCGTTAAACTAATCTTCTATCGCTACTTACCAGCGGTCTAAAAATCGAGAATTCATCGCCTTATTATAAGACTAGGGAATAATAACGTCCTTAACGTATAAAGGCTTACCGTTATAAATGAAAGGAGTGCTCTGTTTCGTAACAACTCTCGACTTTATAAGTCTCCCCCTGCCTTAATTACTATTATCACCCAATCTTTTATTAGTATTGTTATTACCCTATAGAACGTCCGGTTCTATAACGATTCGCTTCGGTTGACTCGATAGTCTCGGTTTCGGTTTCGGTTTTGTTCTCGGAATCGATATGGTCTCGGTAAGTTCCGTAGGAAAACCGTATCGTTTAGGCGATCGTCTCGTCCGGCTCGATCGTCGGGGAATAAAGTATTCCGATAGAATAGAAGCTGTCTTAGTAACAGAACTATTAGTAATTGTTTTAACTAAGACCTCCCGAGGTAATTCGACCTCGGAAACCGTCTCTATATATAGTTTAAAAATAGGCTTAGAAACCTAATAAGAACTAGGCTAAACTACTGCCTACTCTTCCTCTAAAACAATGAGATCATAAACCTCCTATATAGAAATCTCCTATAGAGAAACCTCCTGCGGAAAAATCTCCTATAAAGAAATCTCTTACGGAGTATCCTCCCGGAATGCTCTAGGTAAATGCTAAGGAGAAGTAGGAACAGCCTATTGTATAGGAACTTCTATATCACGAGTAGCTCGCTGTATACACTACCCTTAATAAACAAAACCATTATGTTTACTATCTCCACCGTTGTCCTCCTCGATCGA